CCGGGCACAGCAGCAGCGGCCCTCGGCGCATCCCCAGCCCCGCTCCGGGACCGGGCAGCGAGTCCTGCCCACGCCCTGCTCCAGCAGCGCCGGCTCCCGGCTCCTGCCCTCCCTCCAGGGCACGGAAAGCGTTGCTCGGACACGTGATTCGTATTTTTCCCTTCCTCGGCTAAAAATACAGATTTGGCCACGCCGAGAGGTCTAGGAAACCAATGTCATTGTCACCAGGCGCTGGCTGGCAGGACCCTCCCCTCTCCAGACAAAAAAGGGCTCGCTGCCATTTGACGTCTCGGAGCCGAAGCGCTCCCGCGGCTCCAGCGGAGCTGCCTTTAATCCAAAGGGAAACCGGGCTAATTTTATCCCGGCAAGGTCGGGGTGCTGCGAGCCCGGCAGCGCCGCCGGGGCAGGAGCTGCTTGTCTCCGAGCAAAAGCTTCAGCCACAAAAAAAGCCAGAGCTGAAGTTTGCCAAGCACGGCAAAGGTGTCTCCTGTCCGGCAGAGCCGCAACCTCCCCGGCCCCGCTCCGCTTTGCTCCCGGCGTGGCCGCGAAGGCGGCCGGACATTCCGGGGCACGGCGCTGACCTTGGGCACTGCCCGGGCCAGGGATGAGCGACACAATCGCTGCTCTGAAAGGAAAAAAACCCCCAATTGGGCAAGGCCCCGAAGAACCGAAGGAAAGGGAAGGGGGGGCAAGGGGGGAAAGGGGGGGGGTGTGGGTGCAGCATCCTGTAAAACCAGATCCTTTCCAGCTGGAAAGGCCAGGAAGGCCCGGCTGTGACACTCAGCTGCTGATCCCGTCTCGGATTTCATCCACCCCACGATTCAGGAGCTGCATTATGCCCGGTTTTCCTCACAGACACTTTGTGAGGCACTGCAGCCCCAGCTAAAACATTGGGGGTTGGGAGTAAAAATAACCGGGGATGATCGGCTCGTTGGGAGCACAACGATCAACGCCAAGCTGGCATCGCACGAAGTCCCACCCCAATCGCAAACAAGGCCTTTAAAAGGTAATATTTTGCCGCTAGGATGGTGCTGCAGCTCGCTGCTGACTCAGGAGCGGCCGTGGGATGAGGAGGGAGTTCCCACGCACCCCGAACAGGGCGGGGAGCGCAGGGTCCGGGCTGCCGGGGCTTCCCCAGCCCGGCTCGGGGACACGGGGGATGCCGGCCCGGCCTGGGGAGCAGCCACGAACTGCGCTTCTCGGGGCTGATCCGCTGTCAAGAACTTCCAAAAATAGCGGCGGCCCCGCGCTGGAACGGGCGTGGGGAGGAAGAGTGACTCATGTGCCACCCGGCGCCCCGGCGGAACCGGGCGGGATGCGGGAATGCGGCAGCACGGGAGCTGCCACGGGGCATCCCGATGCAGACTGCCCACCGAGGGGACTCGGCTCGGGCTCGTCCCCGCCTGGCCTTCCCGCGGGGACCCGCTGCTGTCCGCGGTTCCGGCTGCCAGGGATGATGGACACGTGTCAGTCAGGGGCTGGCAGCGGGAATGAGCTGCCGGAGACACCCGGCAAAGCCTGTGCCGAGGTGGGGGAACGCGCAGCCTGTGCTGCCCGGCGCGGCTCAGCAGGCTGGGAGGGAGAGGTGACCTTGCGTGACGACCCAGCCACCTTTGGGAGAAGGCAGAGGAGCTGGCTGCGCCTCCAGCCCCATCCCAGGGCGAGCATCCCACAGGGAGCCGCTGAGGGCCGGGCGCTGCCGGGTGCTGGCTGCCCTCGCTGCAGCCCCAGCCCGCCGGGAATACCGGCCTGGGGCCCAGGGAAGCGGGGAAGTGCCGCGGGAATCTCCGCCGGCATCTCCCGCCCGGCCCTGCGCTGCCCACAGCGGCTTCGGGCGCGTTTTCCCACCCAAAGGTGTTTTCCCCATGGAACAGGCAGCGTTTGCGGCAGGGTTTTTGGCTGAAGGATGGGTGGGGGTGTCAGCTTTGGGAGGAGGGGGTTGGTGGCAGGTTTGGGGTGCAGGGAGGTGCCAGGGCTCAGAGCACCCCCGAAGGGGTGGGCTGCGGGCTCCAGCTCGCAGGCTCCCACGTTGCCATGACGACTGCAGCATCCCGGCTTGGCAGGGCTGGGAAATCTCCTCCATCCCATCAGCGCCTCGCCCCGCCGTGGCTCTGCATCTGGCACAGGCAGCATCCCAAACCCACGGAGGAGCACGAGGTGCAATTCCTGCTGGCTCTGAGAGCTGGGGCTCGCTCCTCCTTCCTGCACAGCCCTCCCAGAGCCACGCGGCTGCCAGGGCACGGGCAGGAGAGATTTCTGCTTTTCAGATGTGGATCTTCCCATTCCAAACCCTTCCACCTGCTCTGGATTTGTGGGGTCCTGGCGAGCAGAGCATCCATTCCCCCAGGCTGCCCCCACACCCTCCTGAATTCTCTGGGGGGACACAATGGGCTCCCAGATCAGGGACCCTGCTCCCCCAGTTGCCCCAGATTTGGGGGCAGCAGAGCCAGAGGTGTCTCTGGGCTGGTGTTACCCCATTAATCGGAACATCCTCACAGGCATCCTGATCATTGCAGCCTCCCAGCCCCTCAGCTCTGAGCCCGGAGACATCCCGAGCTAATTCCTCACTGACAGCAGTGGCACAGGGCTGGGGAGAGGCTTAGCTCCTCGTCTCAGAGGCTGCTGCACCTCCACAAAAGTCGCATTTGAAGAGCATTAATACAAGATTAATCGAGGTTTTAATAAACAGCGAATCGAGTGCTAATGGAGCCCAACTTGTAAGCCATGTGTAACACCCCGGGGGCTTAAAGGCATCCAGAACGCGGCTGGAACGTGCTGAAAGGGGATGTTAATCACCTTGTAGCCTTGAAGACGCCGCAGGGGAAGGGAATTTTAGGGGAAAGGCTGCAGGTGAGCCTGGGGCG